AATAGCAGTGATGGATTTCAGAGCACAGCAGCTGGGCTGTCAGTCAATTATGCTTCCTGCAGTCAGAGATCCAAGAATCACAATTTCATGACTGTCACACGTGGTTTTCAGTAGTAATAGATAGATATAGAAATAAATTTATAGAAATAAATATAGATTTAAATGTGTCCTCCTTAGATAAATGGCTAATTCCAGAGCTGGGAAAGACAGTACCAGATAAGCCTGGAACATGCTGTTGTGCCAGAAAACAGGGAAGTACTCACAGAATGATAGGGGACATGTCCAAAGGACACAGAAGTTAGTTTGTTCCAGCTCCCACTGGCCAGATTGAGAACAATTTGAGCATCAAAATAAGGAACAATAGTGGTGGATTATAACCCTTTGAATAAAATGAGATTCCATGAGTTCATACTAATACAAATAAAGAAATTAATCACTTGGGAGTTTGATGAGGGAAGAAAATTATGTAATTCAAAGTGTCTCCTCGCAAAATATGTATTAATTGCAAAGAGGAAAATGTTAGATTTGGCGAGACAGAGAAAAGGAAGAAAGAGAACTGAGCCAGGCACTATTTCAGCCAAGAAGCTTTATTCCACCAGTGTAAAGGGGAGACCAAGTCAGATCACCTCCCACCCCCATAAACACTAAAAAGGTTTTATAAGGTTTGAATTAGAGGAAGGGTGTTGGGTGGTCGTTTTTGCATAAGAATCTGTTTTGCACAAATTCCAGTTTTTCTCGGTAAGCAAGGGGGTAGATGGTGGAAAGTTGATTAACATGAGGTAGGGAGGGGCAAGGGGGAAGAGGGTGGAAAGTTGATTAAGAAGGCTGTGCTGATGCTGGCCATGAGGCCTAATAGAAAAGAGTAAACTTTACAGCAGAGAAGCCTGGTAAGACACCACCCTAATTAAGTGATCAAAGTTAACATTGTCGGCAAATTATACATCAATACATAACTTGAACATGATCACAAAGAAACATCAGACAAACTGAAATAACTGGCCTGTACTCTTCAAAAGTATCAAGGTCATTATAGTCAAAGAAAGACTGGGAACTGTTCCAGACTAAAGAGACATGACAGCTAAATGCAATACCTAATTCTAAACTAGCTCCTTTTTTTCCTAAGTGTTCCATTAGGACAATTGGCAAAATTTGAGGTTTGTGGATTAGATGGTAATAAATGTGTCTGTGTTAATAACCTGGTTCTACTGGTCATTTTTTGAGTATGTAGGAAAATGCCCTGGTTTGTAGGAAATGCACACTAACGTATAAGGGAGTGATGGTATAATAGGTTGTCCACTTGTTCTCAAATAGTTCAAAGAAGAGGGGCATGTTCTTTGTACAGTATGTGCAACTTTTCTGTAAGTTTAGATAGTTTCAAAATTACACATACTCAAACACACACTGTGAAGTAATCCAGACTGTTTTGGACAATTATCTGATCTATCAATATATTGTTTATTACTTCCAATACTGAGGTGGGGGGGTAGGGGTGGGGAAGGCAGGCAAAAATGTGATCAAACGATTATAGCCTACCATTTAATTCTACTCTATCCTATGGGCATAGAACACCTTTTTTCCAGGACCCTGTGGTTTCAAAGCTATCTTATAGTGGAAAAATATGAGAATATTACAGCCTGCTTGCAGTGGAAAGGATTGGGAGGGGAAGATAAAATGTCAAACTACTTGTAGATCTTTTGAGAAACCCTGTATGTGAGACCCACGTCATTTGTGTTTTTATCAGAAACACCTGATCATGCCTAATGGAAACTGTTCACTTTTAATGCAGCCCTAACTTTCTCTTTTAGTTTGGAGAAGGATTTCAATCCCAGCAGTAATTCTCTGTGTTTCTAGCTAATACAGAGAGAGGTGACTTACTGTTAGACTTCTAAAGCTGATAGGTCCCTTCTTTATATGCTGATTGTGAATTATCCATTTGCACCAGACATGTGTAATTGGAATAGAATTACTGATACACTCAAGAAGGCAGAACTTATAAATTTGTCTAAAGCAGGATAATGTCATGGCACACAATTTAATGTTCTCTTTTCTGACTGGGCAACTGATCAGTGTACTGATGTCAGGTTCTGAGCCATCTTTAGCCAGGGGAAAATCTCCTGACCTTTCATTAGCAGCTGAAAGAAATGAATGATCCAGTCAAGTACATGGATCTAGGCTAATTCCATTTTCTCTATCTCCCTTTCATTCTCTTTTTAAATTGAAGTCTTAGATAATGTGGAGGAAAAAGACAAAAGCTGGGAAGGCATGTAGAAAGTTACTGATTCTATGGCGGCCAAACTTGGCTAGGAAAATAAATAATGTTCTAATGCTGTATCTCCAAAATGATTAGGTGTCTTTCTTATACCTAAAAGAACATCATATTTTTCTGGATGTTTTAAAACAAAATTAAAAGAATTTTCTTTAGTTTTGCAACAGTAAAAATTTTTTTTATTTGTCCTAAATAAGCTAAATAATTCCATTTAGAAAATATTTACTGTCTACTTTGTGCAAAGTACTATGCTAGGCACTGGGGTACAGAGCAAGAAAAACATGGCCCTTGCCTTCACAGATCTCATCATTTAGCAGGGAAGATAGACAATGAATTAATAATTGCAACATAATGTGAAGAGATATCACAAGGGAAGTGCACCAAGAGAATACATGTGATTCTCACATGCCTGGCATGTAGCAAATGTCCAATAATGATGGTTGTTATTATTTCATGTCTTTTTGCTCTCCTTACTGCTAAGCGCCAACACCACAACTGTTCCTCCAGGGGAAATCTGTAATTAGGGATAAGAAGCTAAGAGAATATGGTTTAGATGCTAAGCTTTAGAGGGAAGGGAGAGGAGAGTAGTGGGCAGGGAGTGGAGTGATCTGGGGCTCTAAGGCCTCAGGAACTCTATGTGGCAGGTCCTAACTGGGTTGTAGGTGTTTGCTGATAGGATAAAGAGGGCAAGGACTATGAAGAGGAGAGAAGAACTGTGACCTTGGTTCTCTGCTGGCCGGGCAGGTACTCACTAATTCTGTGAATTGATTTGAGCAGCTTTAACAGGAGTGGATCATTAAACATTTGTTCTGTTTTGCTTAGTATTCTCTAGTTTTTCATAAGAAGCTTGTTGTGTGAATTTTTCCTGCTCTGCCATTCCAGCTTTCTCCTCCAGACCCCATGTTTGACTGTAAAATGTCAATGCTCAGTAATTCAAAGTGTAGTAGCAAATATTTCTTTCTTCTTTTGGCATTTAAAATTGCCAAGGCATCTCAACCTGTCAAAAGTGGAGTAGTCCCCCACGCCACTCCCCAGTCTTCTTGCTAGCTCTTTGGTGGGTGGAGCTTCTCTCCTGCCCTGTTAGGGCTCCTTGGTGACAACCTCAGTTAAATCCTCACCATGTATCAACATCTACATCTACTAATTTGGGGCTGTAGCCTTCTCTATGCTGCCAAACACAACTCTGTGATAATGACAGCGTTTGCCAGCATGCTTAGGCGGTGACTCAGGAGACAGGGTGGCCAGCAAAGCAGCCTCTTTGTGGGAGTGGATTTTGAAAAGTGCTAATTCTGTGGTGGTTTGGAGATATTAATATCGTGCTGGCAGTAGATAAACAGGCAGCAGAGCGGCAGATAAGGAGAAGAGAAGCAGCTATGGCGTCTTTTCCTCCTTTCTCTACCGGCTCATTTTTACTTCTTATTTATTTAAAACTGTATCTTCTCCTGGGCTTTGATGAATAGAACCCTTAAATGGCTTAAATATGCACAGCTACTGGTTAGTAAAGTCTCAGCATCCCCACAGTATGACTTTTCAGAACCACTAGTGTGTTAAGAGTTAACTACATTTTGAAACAATGCTAAATCATAGCGTATGGCACAGTAGCCTATTGCTTACCATACCCTCTCCCTAAACGGCAGCGAACCAGATGGTTTGAGTGTGGCCTTTGGTGTAATTATGACAGACAAAAAGAAAGACATAACCACCACTCTCCCTCAATAATATCATGCTTCTTGCTTTCCAGTGTTTGCTGTAGTTTTTGAAAATGTGTCTTTACCATTTGATTGTTCATGTCAAAGTTCCCTTTCCAGGTTGGGGTGGAACCATGCAAACAGGCTTCATTAGTTGCCTGAGTTTCATTTCTTATGCGTTCTTCTCTAGTTAGTAGATGGAGGTCACTTATACTGGCACCTCTCATTCCCAAGTGGAAGCAATTTTCTTATTTTGGTGAAGAAAAGACTCAGTGCATTTGAGAAATGCTTTAAGTTGGATTCTAATCTGAGATCTCCTGTGGTCTCCTTGAAGTATTGCTCCAAAATTGGTCACCTTGAATTTTATACTTCTTACTTTCTTTGTTTCCCATCTCATTTCATTTTGCATAAAGAATTTCCTTTCTACCAGAATGCCTCCCTACGGCCTGCACCCTCCTCCCCAATTTATTCCTCTCTCTTCCCTTCTCCAAGCCCACTTTGGGTGAGAGAGAGAGATCACTTGCAGGAGTTCTGGTGAGAAGAGAAGCCCTTTGACTGTTATGTTAAACCAATGTTTCTAACATTGCCAAACTAAAGCAAGACATTTTCTAGTTACAGCATAGGCTAGAAAGGAGATTTTGAGAAATTTAGGTCATGCTTTTATGTGTTTAGTTTTTATCTCTGTGCCTGATATTTTAGAGCAGACTTTTCTTGAGGGTAGTGGCTTGTTTATAACATTCTGTAAATAGCCTGACCTAATGTGGGCTTTTTACAGATATTTTCTGCTAGTTTTCATGTGTGGATTGATATAGCAGCTGACTATACTAACCAGAAAAATGCTGAGCTAGGGAACTGTGTTATTCAACCTTTTATTTGGATTTTTTGTTTTTGTTTTTTTAGCTTAGCAACTCATCAGTCTCGAAATCCTTAGCTTCTCCCTCCCTCTGCCAGAATGCGTTAAGACTTCCAGGTGCTAACTGTTTATTTCTGTTGACTGAGCCCCATATGCACCTCTAGTGCTCACTGACCTATCTTTTCTGTTGCAGAAACATCGCAGAGGCTCTTGTCAGTAAAGGTCTAGCCACAGTGATCAGATACCGGCAGGATGATGACCAGAGGTCCTCACACTATGATGAGCTGCTTGCTGCAGAGGCCAGGTGAGACCAAAAAGTCACTACATTACACTGGGACCCACAGCCTCACTATTTTTTTCCCACTATTATTTTTTTTTCCACTGTTGTGCCCATACCTGAGCAGAATGTGCTGAGAAAGCTTTTATCCTTTTATTTTTCTAGTTTTTTCCATGAAAAGAAAGAGGGCACGCAGTGAACTTGCTGTCTAACCTTGGTTAAGTACACTTGGGCCTCCATTTTTTAAAATCTGCAAAATATGTATATATTAGATATGATCTCCCTTAGTAGATGTTATAAAGAAATCATGAATAAAACCACTAAATAAGATATGTTTATCGGCATTCCTGGTTTATGTGTGCAATGCATTTACCTCTGTTTCCTACTTCCAGAGGCCTCTACTCCCAGCCCCTTCCATTTATCACCTCTAGACTTTTTGTCACGTACAAAGGAAATGAAAACATTTATTAGGAAATGAGTTTTGGTTTCAATTCTGATAGTTGGCAGGAGACCGTTTGTGGAGCCCCGGGACATTTTACTTTTGTCCTTCATCCCTGTGGCTGGTTGCCCCAAGGACATGCATACTGCTCAGCAGTATTTCTTGCCATTGACATTCCTCAAGGCTCTTACTCGGGGAGACTTTTGTCACTGGGTGGTGCTGGTAGTTGAGTGATTCACAGACTTCCTGGGAAACAGAGCAAGACCTGAGCTAGTTATTGCTGAACTAACTTGGATAGCTTAACAAACTGTTTGGACTCAACCAAAACATGTTCATTGTTTCAAAGTGATGGCAGGGTCTTGTTTCACTCAGCAGTTTTTCCGTGGCCTTTAGGATGTATTTAGTTCTAGAAGTTTGGTAATTGTCAGGTTATACTCTATAGTTAGAGGGGGAATAATTTGGGGCACGTGTTATCTAATCTCAGCCTCAGACTTTGTCATTGAGATCTCTTCTCCTGCCCTTTGGCCCAGAACATTGCCCTGCTATGCGACATTTACCTTTAACACCATGTCACATCCTGATGGATAGAGCATCTATAGAATGTCACACAGAATGTCAGCTGAGAAATCAGTCTGTCAGGCTACTGTGGCTTTTTGGGTTCTTTCTTATGGGTTTTCCCAATAGGCCTTGTCTGTGTACCTGATTCTTAAATACAAAGTTCAGTGAAAATGCCCATACCTTTGGTTGTTTGATGTTTATTAATGGCTATTTAGAAAATGATGTGCTAGGGCTGGCCCGTGGCTCACTTGGGAGAGTGTGGTACTGATAACACCAAGGCCACAGGTTCGGATCCCTGTATAGGGATGGCCGGTTTGCTCACTTGGGAGAGCGTGGTGCTGACCACACCAAGTCAAGGGTTAAGATCCCCTTACTAATCATCTTTTTTTAGAAAAAGAAAATGATGTGCTATATAGTCCTCAACTGGTGTTTCTTATAATCCTCCTCACTTACTCTTTCTTCTGTCCCTTCCTATATTATCACTAAGCCAAATAGGTCCAAAGAACCCATGATGGGAAATGTGGCTTCACATCTCCTAGATTTGATCATCTAGCTCCTCTAGGAAATGGACAATTACTAAACTATAGATGGGATTCAGGGGGTGGGTCTGTGGTGGACATGGTCAGCCTGATCTGATGGTGACTTGAAGAATAGGTTATGCCTTCCCAGAGTAGCAGGAGCACTTAGCAGTACATTAGGATATATAGTCATATTTTCCGTGCTGGGTTTACTCTGCCACTAGTGAATATTTAATTCTGACAGGCAGGTAAGCGTGGAAATAATTTGCAAAGCTGCTCTGGAAAGTGAGGCCAGAATAATCTCTCTTATTATGCTGTTAGAAATAGCCGTGTTGTGTTATAATGTTTAATGAGTATGCATAGATAGTGAAATTTTTTAAGTTTTCAGTTTTAAGAAGAAAACAGCCTCTTTAGTGCTCATTTTGTGCTGAAGTAATGTAACAAGATGCTTGCTTGCTAAAGCAGTGAGCTGCCTAGAGATAATTGTGTTAAGCCATTGCTTTCAGACTGATGGTGAAAAAATTGGCTTCAGGGTCATTGCACTGTTGCAGGTTGAGTAAACGGAGAGAAATTAAGCACTTGCCTGAGTACGTGAGGTATTGCCATAGGCAATACAGGCCTCATAAAGAATAAGGAGGAATGGGCACCATGAACTGTGAGTGGGTTTTCGTTTGGAGCAGTGTTGTCAGTGAGCCCCAGGATGGTGGCTCAATGCCATCTTCTAGATGCTAACCCCCAGCAAGGCAAAATCAGATCCAAGAAAGACCAGAACACCTGCTAGATAAGCATGGCGGTTTTGTAGCCATTAGAAAAGATTTTTAGTGCAGTGTACCTTTTTTTGAAAATGATAAAGTCGACCTCTTTTCAAAACCACCTGTCTTCTGACACTCTCCTTTATTTTAGTGCACCCTCAGTTCGAAGCACTCCGCTCCCCCACCACACATTCCCGTGTTCCCTAGCATTCTTACTTGCTTCTGTCATGTTACAGCATGTCAAAACTCTTTTTACATGCTCTCCTGCCCCTTATTCTGGCTGACTATTGAATATTGTCTGAGTCTAAGGTTGTTTTCCCCTAGATAGATTCCCCTATATTTTTTGCAGTTGAACTCTGCTTTGTGATTTTATGCCCATGTCAATGTGGTTCCTCTATCTCCCAGCCTAGTGTCCTCTGCAGATCTCATTAGTGAGTTGTTTACTCCTTTTCTTGCCCTGAATAGAACCCCTAAACAGGAATGGCTTTGGTGTTGACCCTAACTCTCACTGTATGGACTGTCACTTAACTGTCTTTTGTTTATCATCTTTCAGCCACTTTTTAATCTTCAGTTATTGTGTACTGAACCAAGCCAATTTGAATTAATTTCCCAAGTAAAATTTCTTGAGGTACTGTATCTAATGCTTTGGCAAAGGTCAAATTAATAACATCTGCTGCATTCATATCAGTCAGTCATTGTGAAACTCTAGGTAAGTAACAGGTGAGTGAAGGTAACGTAGCAAGGCTGTCGTTCTCATTCATCCCTCCCCACAAGAGGGTCGACTGCAATAGATTTATTTGACCCTGCCCCTGGTTACCTGTTTTTCTCTCTGTTTATCACTAGTGATAGCAGCAGTGGTGCAGAGTGCTCTCCCATTGACTTTGCTTTCCAGTGCACTGCTAGGCCATTAATCCTTTTAGAAAAACATTATGAGCTTTGGGGAAAGGGCAGCTTGTTAGCTTGTTTGACTTCTCAGGTCAGCTCAGCGGCATGCTTAGGAGTTGATGAGCTTTCCTCGGACCTGGCAGCCGCTACTTCCTCTGCGAGAGGGCATGATCTGCCAACCTTTCTCAGAACATCTGATGGCCACTCAGGAAGTTAGGCTCTTGTTAAGAGACTAGGTGAGACAGAAGGGGAAGAAGAATACCAGTTCGCATTTTGCTTGTTTTTTCCAAGCATATTCACTGGCCTGCTAGAAATAAGTTCTACCACCTCAGCAGCTCTGTTAGTTTGCCGACCCTTCGAGGCTCCATTCCGTTGCCTGTCTGCTCTTGGAAAACCCTCATTATGTCTCAGATACGTGGCCCATCTAGAGGAAGCTACGTCTTTTTTTTTGTTTTAAAGGATAAATAAATAAAACTAATTCCCAAAAGGCAGTCTTCCTTTCTAGCTCAGTTGTCTGTCATCAGCTGCCTCCTCCCTCATTACCTTGTGTCTTGGTAAGATAAGGTTTTGGCATTTTCTCATGTACTCTCAGACCTTGTTTCTCTCATGGGCTCTGTTGAAAAGCCCTTGATTTTGTCCCAGCGTTCTGAGAGCTCCAGTGTGTGTGTCCTCCATAGTTTTTGCAAAAAGAACTTAGGTGCAGCTGACCCACTGTTCTCCATGACATTCCTGAACGTGGTTCCCCTTTTTAGAGACATCACGTGGGCTGCTTTGGGAGTGTGACACATCATTTCTTTTCTGCACCATCCTAATGTTTCAGCCCCATGTTGGCTTAACACTTCCAGTCCAGTTCTTGTTTCACTTCAGTATTTCTGTTAGCTGACCTGCTGCATCCCTAGTATTTTGGGAGGAGATGGGGGTAGGTGGCTGGCCGGCAGGCAGATCCGAACTCTTGGCGTTGGTGTTATAACACCACATTCTAAACAACTGAGCTAACCAGCCAGCCCCCATTCCTAATCTTGATGAGGGTTATAAACTTGAGGCAGAGCTTTTGACTCCTTCAGAAAATATCTCTTATAACCTTCTGAGTTATTTCTGAGATAGTGAATCATTATCAGTACCCTTCTTATTTTCTAAAGTGCTGTAAAAATCTCTCATACACTCTATGCCACATATTTCATACAACACATTTAGTTTAAATTGAAGAGGCCAAAATGTGAATTTTGTCATCATGGTAGGTGTCTTCCAAGTGGGCCTTTGTTGAGCATGTTATGGACACTGAAGATGAGCTGGTAGGGACTGGAGTCAGATCAAAGCCTGGCCATGAGCTATGTTTTCTTCAGGTACACACACATAGGGAATATCATCTGTGTGCATTCTCCTGAAGCTACCAAAAGCTTTACTTCAAAATGTAATATTTTAAGAATTTCCTAGAAACTATTAATCTGTGGCTCATTGCAGGAAAACACAGAAGTTATGTTAAGTTCAGTATCTGGGGCTTTATTCCTTTAAGGCACCTTTTAATTCTAAGATTTTGTGATTTCAGAATAGTATGTATATATTCAGAAAAGAAATTGATGCCCCAGCTTGACTGTGGGAAAGCAATTGTATTGAACAATCTGGTGTCTAAGCAGATTTAAATGAATTTAGATTCAGTCTGGTCATACATAATGAGGTTAGGGTTATCTCGGGAGAAGAGAAAAGGGCAGGCTCTCTCTTATCTTTTTCATGTATATTCTATTTCTTGCCTGGCACACTGCATACTCAGAAAACCATGGTGTTGTCCTCCGTCTTTGAGAGGCAAGCATTTACCTGCCCCCACCTCAGCTTTGCCTTGGTCCTCTCTTCCCAGTCCCTTCAAGGACTCATTTTTCT